TCGTCCGGTCCGGTGCAATCAAAATGCTGCACGTACTATTTTGATCGTACCGGACGGCAGGGACGATGTGCCTTGCGATCCCGTGCGGGCACTTCAATGGTCCGCCACGCCCCCTCCTGCCCCACTAAAAAGTGAGCCGCCCGCAATGCGAGGCAGTGCGTTCTGGCCAGAATCGGGCCGGAACACACTGAAACTGGTGTGAACGGGCCCTAACACTGGAAGATTTTTCTTAAAAACGTTCATAGGAAAAATCTGCTCCGAATATTCAATAACGCCAGCAGAGACTTGATAAAGTTTGTTCACAATTTTGTTTCATTATAACATTTTATTTTGGAATAAATGGAGTTATCTGAACGTAAACTACATTCGCTGTTAGAATTTCATTTGTTCGATTGCGGCTTCAATTTTCTTTCTTCACTACGGTCAATAAACAATCGTCGATTTGATCCAATTAACTATTACAATTTTTTTTTTAAAAGTTCCAAAAACTATTTTTTGGGAACAAAATTCTACTGGGGTATGGCCAGCTTAAGTAGCGCTGGAGGCAATACACATTGAACTCTGTAATAACATGCCTGTGACTGTATTCTCACCAGATCAACCTGCAAATAACACTTAGGTGACTCATCTTCACTTCATGAACTTTGGTGTTGATGAAGAATTCTAAGAACACCATAGACAGCAAAATAAAACAAATCTAACCCAACTTTCTCCTTGAAGCCCAAATGACTAAGCTGAAGTTGTCTTATTTTTGGATATATTATTAGAAGAACTAATTCACTGATAAAGACAATTGAGCTTGGAGAAATTGGAGGGAGAAGAAGAAAATAAAGCGATAACAGTAGTAAAAAAAACAATAACAATATGACTCATACTTATTAATACTAATAAAGTGAAATCTATTTATTTTAAATGTTTTGAATCATTGTTATTATTTGATTAGTTTAATAATTTGTAAGGGCTGTTGCGGTGGCAAAGTCTTTGTTGTTCAGTGACTCATAGCTTGAGATGGGCATACACCACTCAAATTTCTGGATAGAATTCGAGCAGTATGCGGACCCCAATCCCACTCCTGCCACCCCCCCTAAACCCGTCCCCCCTCCCAACCCCATTCAACAAAAATCAAGCTGGTTCTCAAATGATCAGTGATTCAGCCAATCAGCTGCAGTCACTTTTTGGGTGTTCTGATAGCAGCCCACCTGCCACTGTCAGCACACAATAGCCCAATGAGGTGAGGGGGGCATAGAGGGGTCCCCCAATATTGCTGTTTAGAGTTTCAGTGAGAGGAGCAAGAAAAATCTATAAAGCTAGCCACACACTTCTCTAATTTCGGCTGGGTCCTACTGACTTGCGTGTGGCCCCCTCGGTACAACCCAGATAAAAAGCTAATTTTTAACGTTTGCTGAAAGGCATTGGTCTGAAAATTCTCCACTGAACAGCTGATTGGCTGCAGTCCCTTTTCAGGTATTCTGAGATTGGTACACCCATAGCTGTCAGCATACAATAGCCCAGCGTGGGTGGGGGAATCTGTTGTTTTTTTTGTTCCGTTCAGCTTTTTTCGTTTTTCAAGTGTACGGCCAGCTTAACTGCAACAAAACTAAAAAATCCTGTTCTTCCATGGATAAGTGTGGGATTTGTTCAATGATTATTTAACAAGAAACAGATGACTATTTAAGACTAACTGAAAACGACTTTAGCTGCATTTAAACTGTTGTGTAAGCAAAAGACATTTGAAGTGATCTCTGTTTATACAACACGGACACTACAGGCTGTTTCCTATACATCTGCAGCAAACAGAGCTATAAACAGAGATATATCCTGCACAACCTTTCCCACACCACAATATTGGCACAACTTAAAGGAACGATGGCTGTGATTGCAACTTGGCTATCTGTGTCAATTTCCCATGATGGGACTTGTAGACCCACAACACCTGGAGTGCCAAGGTTGTCTACTAGGGTGTCAACGCTGCTCTTCCATAGGTACAGTATGGTGAGCGAGCGTTGTCACCTTTGGACAGAAAGTGTGTTACTGGCAGGATCACCAGGTAAAACAAAACAGAAAAAAGGCAAAAAAATAATAAATTAGCCACATCTTCTAAGGGCTGCAATTATAATATAATAAAGGATATAATAATATAACATGTTTCTGTTCAGTCTGTGCAGCCCGGAGCAAAGAAATCCTATGTAAAGGTGGCTATACACTGGCTGTTTTTTCTTGTTCAAACCCGCGCGCTGAATGAGGAAAAAAGCTTGATTTCCCAATCCACACTAAATAGCATGGGTGGGGGGAATCACCACTATTGGGCTTTTGTATGCTGACATGTGCAGGGGTGCTGCTGTCAGAATACCTGAACAGTGATTGCAAATGATTGGCTCACTGGAAATCATTGGCTCATTGGCTCTCAATTCAGATGTCCAGTGAAACGTCTTCAAGTAAAATACAGCAAGTCCAGTTGCCTTGACTTATTTTTTACAGTTATCTAAGTGACCCCTTAGAGGACGCACATGGTCACTTGCAGCACAGGTTACCCCTTCAGGGCTCCAACAATCTAAAAGAAGCATATTGAAAGAATCCCTCCAATTTTCTGACAATGTTTCATGATACATCTATTCAGGGGATAACATAAAACATGGTCACATCTACCAAATCGCATGCTGACATGTCATCTGACACACCAAGTACATTTCTACACTTTGATTTCAGGTTTAGTAATGCAGAAAATCATCTTTCCAAATAATTTAGAGATTCTGCCTCATACCCGCATCAACTGTTTGCTGTACCCCCAAGGACATTTGTGAACACAGCTAAGGACTGCACAGGGACATGGATTTACATAATTGTGTCCTACTTTTCGGTGTAAACAAAAGTGAAAATACAGATTTTCAAAGGATTAAAGAAATGATCAGCTCCAGTACGATAGCACGCCACAAAATGGTGACAACCCTTAAAAAAAATGTGTGTGTGGCAAGCAAAACAAACTACAAACGCACTCAACAATTTGTTACCAGTTATACAGTAAGGTGCACACGAAATGGGCTTTGAACAGTAAAACAGTAGAAAGGTATCATGGCACACTCACAAGCCAGCATGTAAAACAACTTGTCTCACCACTAAGGATAATAACAGAGGTTTGGATACACGTCTTCTGCAGAGGATGTGAAAGCCGCACTGCCCCGCCAAGGCACCTCTTATAGTGCGGTCCTAACTCTAAACTAAGAGAGTCTCCATCTTGGAGCACATGGGGGCAGAAGATTTCAAATTGGGTGCAGGTTTGTCAGGAGGACGCCCAACCTCCTTAAAAGCACAGTAACACACAAGGGATCCCGCACATCCCAATGGCAGCTGAGAAACCCCATGCGTCGCTGCACCAAATCGGTCAAGCAAAACAAACGACAAACGCACTCAACAATTTGTTACCAGTTATACAGTAATGTGGCAGACATCCCAACCTGCAAACCCTTATTTCAGGGAGGTTCCCGTCTCATTTCAGGGAGGTGCCCTTTCTGGGTTTTTTTTTACAGCGGCCGTCGTCAGAATATAAAATAAATAATAATGATAATATATATCTATAGATATATATCTATATACATACACAGACACCCACAGTAAAATAAAATCCACATACCAATAATACAATAGTATATATTTATTTATATATACATCAGATTTGTGAATTGATGTTCAAGTATCTGTCAGTGTAAAATTCACAATTTATTAGACAGCCCGAGACCTTTGGAGTAAAGTCCCTGATACACAGTGGACTAGTTGCTATGGGCAGCAAATGAAATAAATGTT